ATACCATCGCTTGATCGTATTCATACTGGCTGCCTAGTCATTTAGGACTTCTCATCCGAATCCAAATCTAACCGAATTCGAGAGGGAGTGCATTATACTGATTATCATTCTAGTATCTGAGATAGCCTTGGCTTTGCACTCTGGTATTTATGCTGGTTGATGATTGAAGGTGAAATGAAAACCTGGTCAGTAGTCGAACTTCGTAGCTCAGTTAGTAAAGCATCGGGCTGGCAACGCGGTGATCGCTGGTTGGAATCCGGCCGTCATCCAAATTTCCATTTCACCTTCAATCATTTGTATAATTAATACTTCCATTCACCCTGTTGTACAGAGTTAATTGCAACTAACATAGTCTGAAGTTAGGCTAGGGGGTTTCACTTTGAGACTTTTTAAAAATTCAACCTGTAAGACGTTTATCAGTATGTACAACGAATGACATAAAAGTACAATTATTTCATGACAAATTTTACTCCTCTGGAACTGAATAATAGCATTCATTTCAATTAGTTGTCTTAACAAAGGTACTAAGCTACCAAAACTTAAAAAATCTCTCAACAGGGTCACATACGAGAATATAACCTCAAATATGACACAAATATATCGATGAAAAAAAATTGAGAGTAACAGTAGCCAATAAGGATAAAATTAGGGTCAATAAATCGAAAAAGGAAAAGAGTGAGGTGGAAATTAAATAGATGCAAAACAAATAAAGCACTTTCATCACAGAACCTTGTCCTCGATTCATGTATTCTTCATTGAAAAAAGTAATATTTGTCACTTTCAAGGCAAATAGTGAATGGCTGAATGGTTTACTATAATTTTCCCAACAACCTCAGTTGATTAAAGTCTACAACTTTATTAAGTGACCACACAAAGTTACACAAACTTCTTCCTCTACGCTCTCCAAACTTTTATCTACCGTACATGTAAACAGTGATATGTCCTGGTCGTTAATCAGAACAAAACACAATTGTACAATATATGACCCTGAATTTGTATTTCACTTCATTGTAGCTAAATTTAACATATTCATCACGGGCCGACATCAGTTAGGGAACCAATGAAAATCTAGGAGCACTAGACAGCTGGTTTGTCCTAGTATGGGACTTCTCAGCAGTACGCACCCACGACTACACCACAGATCGAACTCAGCACCTTCAGGTTTCGAGGCGAACCCGTTAAGTAGTCAGCCACCCAGTCGGAGTTCAATGGTTGACAGTTTCCAACTTCTGTCAGTCCACGATATACGGCGACTATCACCCAGGGTCTTCGGTTGGCATCCGCTTCACTTCCGACTGGTTGACCGCACAGGTCATGACTTATCAATAGAACTTCATGATATCCATCTCGAAGTATGTCACTAATGACAACTATACAGTTATGTAATGTTGAGGTGAATGGATATTTGAAACTATGAACCACTGAAAACCGACATAGTGACTGAATAGTTAGCGTGTTCAATGTGAAACTTGAAGGTCTTGAGTTTGATCCCAAGCCGGATCGTGGGTGCTTACTGCTCAGGAGTCCTATACTAGGACGAAACAGTTGCCCACTGCTCCCAGATTTTAAATGGTTCCCCAAATGATGTCAGTCCATGACAAATAATACAAATAATAAATGATGCCAAAGCCTCTGTGGATAGGACGGAAATACATTTAAGTAGTTTTGTCATCTTTTACACAAATGCACGTAGTCTCTTAGACAAGTGAACTGAACTTAGTAATGTAATAAGCAGAGCAAGTCCTAACATCATCGCTATCTCAGAAACTTGGCTATCTTCTGAGGTCAGTGACAGAGAAACACATTTACGAGTATTCCTTTCTTTTGGAAGAGATAGGTTAGCACGTAAATGTGGTGGCATCATTTTCCACGTTAAGAATACCTTAACTGTGAAAGCCATAAAAACGGATGCATATGAAAGTCGGACATGTGCAATGCTGAGATACCGTCTAAAATGCAAAGGACAAGATGTTAGCCTAATCGTAGTATATCGAAGGCCTGAATGTGAGACAGTAAAATCCCTTCTGTATAAGCTGACCCTCTAGACAGATAAATGCCGATGCCTAGTTGTAGGAGGCTTCAATGCACCATCAGTTGACTGGGGTAAACTAACAAAAGAAGCATCATGTAACTCGTTTGATCACAGATTAGTGGAAATATCAATTTCATTGGCCCTTTTACAGAACATTAGGATAGCAACTTGATATGATCATCAGAATGCTCCATCAGTTCTAGACTGAGTATTCTCACACACAGATGACGTATGCTTCGTCCGCCACCTTGCACCTCTTGGTAAAAGTGATCATGTTGTTAACCTCTTCAAATTCACAGCAGCCGTCTTGTACTAGACCGATGCCCCAGCTAGTCAAAATGTATGGAAAGCGAACATGAGAGCTATTAACTTGGCAGCCTCTTCGAAGAACCAAACAGTCAATTGGGAAGCATCAGGTGAAGCTGTATGGTGCTCCTTCGACCAGTTATATACAAGAGTGACTCAACTTTTCATTCCGTAGACTGTTCCGAAAAGACGGAGGCACTGTCCTCCTTGTTACGACGTAAGAAAATATGCTGGAATCTTGCCACCCATCCCAGTATTCCAAAGGTGATAAAACATTACAAAGAAGCCCAAAAAATGTATCGCTAGTATCTCCCAGTTTCGAATATGCTTTGAAACACATCTTGCCCAGCCTGCGTTGCAACATCCAAAGAGATTATTTTCTCATGTGAACTATAGGAATAAGATGTATCGTGTTATACCCACCCTAATCAAAGGGACAGAAACTAGCTGTTTGATTGAAGACGATAAGGAAAAAGGCAGAAAATATGGCTGGATATGTTGCTGAGGTCTTTACACAGGAATATTCTGTGGACACTAATTCAACAGTAGAATCCAACAGAATAAACTCCGTGGACGTCGATCGCAATGATGTATTTTGGATTTTAAGCACCCTCGATGTAGAAAAATCAACAGGACTGGATAAGCTGTACCCAAGGCTGCTCAGAGAGACTGCAATTTATGTGGTTGGCCCATCGACTACTATATTTAAACTGCCCCTGAGCGAAAACACACTCCCCTATGATTGGAAGGATTCATAGCGACACTTATCCACAAGGTAGGTTCTAGGCAGCGCCCATCAAATTAAAGACCGATAAGTTTGACTAGTACTGTAGCAAAAATCCTAGAAAGAGTAGTCAAGAAAGCCATTACAGTTCACGTATAAAGCAGCACTCTATTGTCTTGTTCGCAGCACGGCTTCCGCGGAAATTTTTCCTGCTTGACGAACCTTCTCATAGTCTAAGGATGATAGGGTACCTGTAGATGTTATTTTCATAGACTTTAGTAACGGGTTCGGCAAGGTACCTCATTCCAGGCTGCTCGGGAAACTGAGAAGTTCTGCGATCACCCGCAATCTGCTTGCATGGACAAGAGAGTTGTTTGTTGGTGGGAGACAAAGAGTAAGGACCAATTCTCAATCCTCCTCTTGGAAGTCAGCAAAGAGTAGAGTGCCGCAAGACACAGTGCTGACCCCAGCTATTTCTCCTATATATAAATGAGCTGCTGAATATCACAAAATCCCCCATGGTTCTCTACGCTGATGATGTAGAACATCTGGCGGGAAATTATGAATGATGAGGATATACGTGGACTTCAGACAGACCTAAACAGCTTGTTTACCTGGTCAGAGAAATGGCTTATGCCTATCAACGCAGGTAAATGTGTCAGAATGCACATGAGACACAGATGGCATCACCTACGATATTGATGGGACTTCTCTACCGTCAGTACTGACCTAAAATGACCTACGAGTTACAGAGAGTTGTGATTTAAAAACTCAAGCACACTGTCGATTGGTAGTAGCTCGAAGTTTTAGGACACTAGGCATTAAGCACAACGTTTACAAAAATAAATGGTGACATGTTCGCTAACTCAAACACATCCTTAGTTAGGTCCAAATTAGAAAACTGTACGCAAGCCACAAGTTCTTGTGTAAAAGGTTACGCAGCGCTTCTAGAAAGAGTTTAGAGGACAGCCACTGGTATGATCCCTCCGATGGCTGGCCTCACCTGTAGTGGTCGACTTAAGGAGCTGAACTTCTTCACTTTATCATATTGCAGACAGAGGAGAAATCTAATCACGCTATACAGGATTCAAAGAAATGACTTTAGATCTGATTTATCTTCTCCTTCCCTTTCCACTAGGTCGGGACATCTCAGAGGAAACAGTAGTAGGATGCAAAAGCAAAGAACGAACATAGTCTCCGCAGAGTACTGGTTCTCACTTCGAGTAACCAACTCCCAGAAGTGGTGTCCGTATTATCAATTGACTTGTTTAAAAAGAGACTGGACAAGGACAGAAATCTACTGGAAGAGGACTAATATAAGTTCACAGCCCTCTATCTGCAAACAAACCTGAAGAAATCAGGTCTGAATTGACGCCTAATGACACACGACTATCTGTATTTGCTGTAATAACCCGAAACCATTTGAGTAACTGCAGAGAATACTAACATAGTTAGAGAGATATAAATTCTCTATTAAAAGGAATAAATTTAAGTACCAGCTTAGTAGTAACTCATAAACACACTGGTGATACTTACTTCGAGAGAACTTGGCTCACAGTCTACGTTGCTGTAAAACAAAATCATCCTATAATTCTCTGAAAACGCAAAATTGCAATGTTTGAACGTCAATTTTCATGGAAATGCAGTGCATTATAGAACACAGAGGGGAACTGCACCAACTTGGAAATGCAATGCGCTCAATCTCAGGCTTATACAAACGCTGAAATTCGAAGTACCTCTAGACATATATTAAAAAACGCACTTAAATTATCAACGTTAACTGAACCGACTTTAAAGTTAATAAAGAAAATTTTCATTGCTAATTAGCAGATACATATGTACCAATTCTTTTACAGCACCTTGACATACGTCAAAGTGATTTGTATCACTTATCCTTATATCCATAGAAAGAAACCACACAGATATACCATGACTTACAGCTAGAGTATTCATGTGGAGAGTAGTCTAAGTGGACATAGTCAAAGTTATCGAGGCTGGCCAACATATCGTTGAGCTCCTGTACGTTTTTCGGCTGTCCGTTTCTCAAACCCGTGCCATTGCTATGATTAGTATGACTTGAAAGAGACTTATCCCCATTATTCTCACTAATTTTTGGTTCCACTGGATGATCATTATTACTCACACTTGTAAAAGAGCTGCTATAATCACAATACGAACTGCAATATTTGTTTTTTTGTAGTATCTTTTGATTTGTTTGATGCAACTCATTTAATAAAGAATCTAAAACACAAATAAAAGATAATCACACTGAATTATTACGTTGAATGAAAGCCAAAAATATACTACAAATATGTTAGCAATACTAACCAAGATCATCCATTTACGAACAAGGCGGCTCAACGCTAATAATAACGACCTACAAAATTGCTGGTTAAATGATGGGTTATAACTTCAGTACAATGATATCTTTTCACAAGCTAAGGTACACCAACCAATTTCTTTGTGCCCGCTTGTAAGTCTTACAGAATAGTTACAGGTCTTTTGGAGGATTCTGATGCAGAAGACCTACCCACTCCACTGCTATAGCTCTAGTTAGCCCGTTAGCCGGTTGAGTGTCGATTAAATATTAATTGTCCAAGGATTGTGGTGCAGAGAGAAACCTCGAGTATCGTACCACCGGATAGTTGTTTGCACTGATTATAAAAAGAAGATGGAAAAGATGTTCAGTGAAATCAGGGGATAGGAAATGCGAAGTCTGAAGCGAGGTGAAAAGGAGCTGAACGGAAGGGAAGGAGAGATCTAGGTAGGTTAGTGGGAGATATTAGTGGTAGGGAGAACCTTGCTGGACACAGCAAGATCCTACAGTCAAGGGGGAGAGAAGTAGCAAGTAAGATTAGGACAGTTTGTGGAATACGATTAGTAGTGTTGATAGGGGGGTGTCGTAACTGGAGGTGACGTCTACCAGAGACCTATAAGGTCAGGTAGAGGTTCTGATGATAGCGGTGGCAAATTCCCGGTATAGTGTCGTAATAGATAAAGCCCAGGATTTCGATGCACGCTTATTGCTACTAGTAGTTGTTCTTGCTCATCCATTCGTCTGATCCATAATGTTGTTCAAGAGCAAATGCTACCACAATAGTCATAAGGGTACAGCAAAGTCATGAGCGTCATCTGCAGTGCTGCCATATCGGAAAGGTACTTCTGAAAAGATCGAATTGGCACGCACTTTACATGATGTTAAAGTCTGCTCCAAAACCTTCAAATTCATTGGAAAAGATCTTAGTCGAATTGCGAGGTACAATTCATATAATGTCGCAGAACGACAGTGTCTGCAAAATTAAGTGTTTGGAATGTGAAACTAGTTGTAGTGGATAAAGTTGTAGACCCTCAAAGGCTAGAATGAATGAACACATGCTATATACGAAACACCCACCAAGGAATCAAGGTGAATTTAGAAAATTTAGAAAAGCTACCAGATGTAGCTTTCCGCGCAGATGAAAGTTAGCATGTGATTGACTTTGAGAATGTATGCATATTGGGAAAGAGTCTCTAGTCACGTAAAGATAGATTAACTTCCGAGGCCCTCCACATCTTTTTACGACATCAAACCCAACAAACGGAAAAGGTGAAACACATTTTTCACCCATTTGGCGAGCATTAATCCGACAAGATCATTAATAGTGACATTTTTTAAAAACTGAGGCTACAATAACAGTGGCCGCTAGCAACGGTTCAAAAATAAAAACACAAGACACAGCACGTGCTCTTCGATGCATACAAACACGCAATTACACGTTGACTTGCCTACATATCTGCTTACAAATGATAATAACAAGCGTGAACTTGTGATGACTGATCTTAATTACTCAGGTTGGACGGAAAACCGTCCAACCAGTGGCCTGGGTTCACCAAGTATTTAATGTGCCATTTGGGGCCATAGTTCAAACAAATCTGTATATACTGCAGAAGAAGTCATGGCTTACACAGTGAGGCGTTTAGAGATATATTACTTTGATTTTCCTAACACATTGGAATTATGTTAAAATATATACTTTTGGTGATTTAGTCAGGATCGGAGCTCAGTTTCATCCAGGACACTTGCAACAAGTGCAGTCTGGATGTTTTTAAAGTGTCCGGTTGGCAGTCATCACAAACGCTGCATGCTCCAGTGGGACGATTTTATGTTTCGTAATGAAGTGCTATTTAAAGGTTTAACTATTGTCTTCTCCCTTCGATAGCAAATTTGTAACTCTCTTGGACCACAAACGTTTCCTCCCGTAGCAAATCAGCTCATGTCACATACACCGGTAATTCCTCGGACTTCATGCATAAAATAGGGTGTCATGTATCTATGTTATGTATGTAAAACTTGAAGTGTGTATTAGTTAAGTCAAAGACAGGCGTTCCCAAGTGAGACTTCAGGTCATAATGATTAATTTATTCAAAAATCTAAGGGGGGTGAACGTAATCATAAGACACCAACATGTGGTGAACCACGTCCGATGGGTTTCCAAGGAGGGGAGTTTGCATCCTCTTACTCTGTATCCTGTCAGTGCTGAAGGTCTTCGTTAAGCCCGTGGAATGGTTTGAGATCCCGAGGCCTTCCCGAAGCCGGAGAATTTCACAACAAACGAATAAGCTTCAAATTATTCTTCTGTAGAAAAATACTCTTATTTTTAAGCCTAAAATGTTAGCCTGAGCAATCGCTTCACAAAGTTGCAAAAGCAAGAATGCAGTGGCTTCTTATCAGATCCCCTTCAGGCTCCAATGTCAAATAGCCAATATCATTTTACTAGCTAGTGCAAACCAATTAATTGCTTCACTCTTGCTCCCAGATAGCCACCACGTTTTGCTGATTCCCCAAGTTATCATGAGGCATTAACTGCAGTTGGGCAGTGGGATTTCCTAATACTTATAATGCTTGGCAGTCCGCCTCGGTCTCACCTAGTGAATCGAGAAAACGTCGTTTATCCCTGTAAACATCATATTATCAACGTTTTCGAATTTCATATCACTACAAAGTTTTCAGACCAACCAAAAGAAACCGAGATAAGATGGAAAGCAACTAAAATCAACGGAAGAAAGACAAACGTCTATGTCAGCTACACAACCAAGGTAACGTTGGACCTATGTTGATTTTGATGGGTTATTTTTGGTGACTTCTACGAAAATAGGGTGGACAGGTAGATAACATAGACATCTGAGGTAAGGAAAGGGGGAAATTAACGGTGAAGATACGCACACTAGTTAATCTAAAAGACAAGAAGCCACAGAATTGACATACAGAAGACCTGGAAGCGTTGAGCTTCCTCAGCTAATGCTTGTGTGGTTTATCTGGTGACTGTGAACACAATTCGTCACCACGCTTCAGATTTTCTTTGGACGACTGAATTCCTCACGAATATAGTTTTGCCGAAAAACTATCTGCCACAAGGATGTGATTCCATGTAGTACGATTTTAGATATGTAGGGTCAGTCAGCTGACAGCCTCAGACCCAAAATCTATGACCGCCAGCAGTCATCAGCACGGGGTACTTGCTACTGTGGGGTAACGGTAGTTCTCTTGGTGATCTGAACCTGTCGCACCCACTGCCCATGCTGCAGACTTTCACGCAACCCTTTGGGCCACAACTGACTCCACATGGTTTCTTATCAATCATAGGAAGCATTCGGCAGTAGGTAATCGATGCGGTCTTTGAATGTCTAACGATCAACGCAAACCGACATCTGCCGACCTATTTAACAACGCGATGAGTCACTACAGTGAACTGTCATTTTCTGTCACATGTTGCAGTCGGCGACAGGATGGGCTTCTGGTTTACAGATCTTAACTATCACCGATCAAAGCATATCACCGAGTTTACACCCAGCACGCCTCTCGAGTGGCTTGAACCTTCATCGATATCTTTCTTCCCTAAGGTGGGCAGTTATTTCTCATTGAGTCAATCCAACCTTCAATATAATATATTACCGCAAGTATCTTGATTAGATGCATCGGGACCACTGCTGCCTTCGGTCTCTCGTGGTGGAAGATGTGCGGCGAACGTCACCGTCAACGAAAAATTACTTTAACCGGTGTCCACGTGGGTAGCAAGCTAAGGAAGGCGATGTTTCAGTGCTTTGAAGGGGATATAATTCCTCGGAAAAAGATATTTTTATTTCTCCATTCCCCCTGTCATTAGTCATACCTAGCGTTTAACCAGCTTCATAATATAGGGATCCTTTAGCTCCATCTACCTAACCATTTCTGTAGTGAAATTCCTTGGTATCCTGTCTCACTCCCTTTAATGAGGTGGAAGTTTTCCCGATGTCTTTAGTTTAATACCAGTTATCGTGGCTTGTGTGCTGTAGAAGTCCGTTAAAAGACTGCATACAACCTACATTTTGTTGAGCGAGTTGTATTCAGCTGTGTACTGGTATGAGGGTAGGCGTACTGATCACGTAGAAAAACAGCTGCATCGCCGAGAAACAATGTCACAAACTAGGAGACGTGGTGTAAAGAGAGCTCTGCGTCTTTCGTTTCAAGCTAATTCCAAGCATTTGAACGCTGATGGCTCATGTGAACTAAGGGGAATGTCTCAGGGACCTGATCCGTTGTTTTTCCCTTTTCGTAGAACAGCAAAAAAATAGCTCAACTATATTTAGGAATCCCAGTCAACCGAGGAGGGTCAAAGGAGAAAACGGATATTTTCTTAGACACTGAGCAATTTTTAGCATTAAAAATTACAGCCAATTTAGTCTCTTTCATTGCCTTGGCATTTCGACAAATACATCGTCGATTGACAGCGTCTTAACCAATTTCGCAAGCACTGTTTAAGACGATGCGTTGCCACACACCAGCATCGCTCTTGATAAGCACCCAACTTAAGCTTGACTTCATTGCTCTTGGCCACAGCATCGAACTCCTTGTGTGGGACATTCCTCACATCTTTTCATAAAAACACTTTACCTTAGTATTCCAGTATGCCTGCAGCAATTATCTCTGACATGCG